AGCTTCCAACAAAGAAAACAGAATTAGAAAGTATAAATTATGAAACTATTTAGGATAAAACCTAAATGAAGGAATGCTAAAGGAGCATTTTAGAAATCTGAATGAGAATGATGGTGATATATTAACAAACAAGAAGAACTGCCAGAAGAACAGAATGAAAGGAAAGTCAAACATGCTGCGAGGATGTTGAAAACCACTAAGGCTGAATATAAAGACAATGGGGAAACATTAAAATATGGGAGACTGTATTTGTAGAAGGGTTGTACATTAATACCCCCTTCATCTGGCGAACTATTTCATGCAGGTGCTTAGGAAGGTATCTGATAGAACTCTGATTGAAAGAGTGTTAAAAATGCCAATAAGTGCAATGTTTCAGAGCATGTGCAAATTAGATTTTTGTTTTTCAGCAGATCACTGAGACATATGAATGTAAGAAAGTTCATTCCATGTTTGCTGATATAAGAAAAACATATCACATAGTAAACAGGTTTGAATTACGGAAAGTTTTTTGTGAAAGGCAAAAATTACGCTAAAGTGAAGCATACAGAGGGATTACCAAATGATACAAAACAAGCAATGAGTAAAAATCATATGCCACCTTGGTTATTTAATATACCTATAAACTTGTAGTGATGTACGTTTTTATACAGGGATTTTATGTTATGATGCTGTGTGGACGGCTAAGAACCCAGACAATTTGCAACAAGATGCAACAAGATATATCTATCAAAAACCAAAGTAGTTGAGTTTCACAGAGAAAATGAGGTGAGTCACTGCAAATTTCACATAAGTGGCAAAATATTCCTTGTTAGAATGCTTACTAAAGATAGAAATATCTTATTTTGGGCAAAACTAGTAAAAGGTAGTGATTAGTCTGCAGTGAGGAATATATATTTTGACAAGCAAAAACACCTGTGTTTGAGAGTGTTTCTGCTTACTTTGTTATATAGAATTGAGAGTGGAATAAGTCACATATAAATAGAAACGGATTAGATAAGAAATATATATGGTAATATAGGAGGAGATTAGGAAAGAATGAAGATTATTATGAAAATATATTGATGTAGTTTAATCCTCCAGAGAATGAAAGAAATTGCAACCAATCTAGGAAGGAAGAATCCATGGACTGAAAGAAAGAGGGAAAAGCAAAAAATCATAGCAGAATAGAATTGAAGAGATCCTGAAAACAATGTTTAAAATTTAAAGAACAAAATTGGTATATATGCATTGGTATATGGAAAGGTATGGATACAGTGAATTTAGCCCAAATCAGGAAAAAAATCTAAATGTAGCTATTCTTGCATGCACATATGGAGTCAGAAGAAGCAACGTGCAAAGCAGCTATGAGTCTAAGGAAAGATTTGACTGTTTTTACAGTTCAAGTACCTTTTTCAAAGAATTTGAACAGCCACAGCTTACTGTGAACATATTCCGTGCAATCTTCCTTTGAATGTTACACCAATTGACTGGGCAGTTCAATAGAGATTCCACTGACAATCCTCATCAACCTATGAAATTCCCTATTGCTAAAGGAAGGAACTGATCCTAACTTTTCATATCTTTTGGTAAGCCCATGACCAGAGATTTCTTGTTAGCAAATCTGCTGCTTGCCCTCTGAATTACCAGCAGGTGGTGGCAACTTGTCACAAATGCGTGCATGAAGCTGACTGGTGGCATTGGGAAGTCTTTAAAAGCTGCAGGCATTCACATATCATTCTCTCACATCCCTTCTCCTCTCTTTATTCATGGATAAATAGAGAAAAAGTTACAGCCAACTACCTAACCCCACTCTCTTATTCCAAATCCCTTAAACTTCTAATCAGGCCTGCATATATATATATATTTTTCCCAGTGAACCTATCTCCCTGCCAGGCAAAGCTTTCCTTCCAAAGCTCTTTGTTGCAGTGAAGAGGAAATTGAATTAAACTGTGAGAATAGAATTTAATTTCCAGGCTGTTTGATTTGATCAAGCTCCCTACTCCCTGGTTCATCTGGGAGTTTCTCCCAGAACTTATAAAGGTTGCACAGAACAAAAAGCCGATACAGCTCTTGAGGAAAGAATAGGTTATTAACACCGACACAGGCGGACTTGGTTTCCCACCGCTAATATGGTGTTTTCAACACATGGAAAATGGGTCACTGGCTTTAATTCCTTCTCAAAGAACATACGAGAAAGCATGAGAAGAGATGAAGCAAAAAGAGACGTGGGCAATGAAAAGCACAATAAAGACAAGCCCCTCCAGGAGCAAGTTCAGAAGGTGAAGGTGAAGGTTCGTTCTCCGAGCTTGTGGGTTGGTTTCCGAATGTTTCGTTACCAGGCTAGGTAACATCTTCAACAGCGTTCCCCTAAATCCCCTAAACACCATTGAAGATGTTACCTAGCCTGGTAGCAAAATGTTCGGAAACCAACCCACAAGCTCAGAGAATGAACCGTTACCCTCATCCTATACCCGAGCTACAGATATTCGCCACTATTGCAAATTCAGAAGAGGTCAGATAGTCACTTCTTCTTCCAACAGATGCTTGTGGAGCAAACATTCATTGAAAGATCATCTACTGTAGCAAATCACTGTGGTGGTAATCAGGACAGTTCTTGAGGAATTCTTACATGTCTTACTCTCTGCACACATGCTCTCTTTTTCTCCCCTTTCTCCAACCTCCTATTTTTCATACACACACACATACTCACACAGTGCTCTTCATATATAAATATGTGTGGGTGTATGCTTATTGCACTTCATCTTCTCAACCACTTTTGAGGTAGGATAGCTTGAGATTGATACGATGTGGCCACAGAGCAGTTCAAGCCAAGACCTTCAAAAAGAATTTATTTAACCTGTTTATAATACTCTAAATGTGGGAACAAAGAGACAACTGCTTTGACCAACTGTCTAGCACAAGGGTCTTCAAACTTGGCCCTTTTATGACTTGTGGACTTCAACTCCCAGAATTCCTTAGCCAGGCATGCTGGCTGAGGAATTCTGGGAGTTGAAATCCACAAGTCATAAAGGAGCCAAGTTTGAAGACCCCTGGTCTAGCAAGTACTGCCGCTTTATAAGACTTCTTCCTTTATTATTGCTCGTCGCATTCTGAAAATACAATGAAGCAATTGTCCAGAAAATGGTCAGAATATATGTCCATATAAGGGTATCAGAGTATGTACAAATGGAAATTGGAAATTAAAGACCCTGATGCAAGTGATTGAATGTGTTTGCACTGTACTATTCTTGCCTTTCTCACTGGTGCTCTCAAAATAAAAAGGGCACCATCTTTGAGAAATGTGCATTAAGATATGGATTAGTACATTACAGATAAGTTTACAAATTTCTACAGCAGTGGTTCTCAACCTGTGGGTCGGGACCCCATTTGGGGTCGAACGACCATTTCCCAGGGGTCGCCAAATAACACAGTCCGCCATTTTTTTTCCCTTTTCCTTAGTTGTGCTACTCCCTTTTATTCTATTGGCTTTTGAAAGCCAATAGAATAGACTCTCTTGAATAGAGTCTAATTCTATTGGCTTTCAAAAGCCAATAAGAATTGTCCAGGCTGTCTCTGCCCTGCTGAGCCCGCCAAAAGTCCCATTCTGCAAATGGTGCTGCACCAGTTGAGTAGTCCCCGACTTACGACCGGTTGAGTAGTCCTCGACTTACGACCTGTTGGGGGTCGTGGCATTAAAAAGGTTGGGAACCACTGTTCTACAGCTTGCTTCAAGACTCCTAGCCTCTCAGAGATATTCTTATGCCAGATGCAGACAGTTACTGCTATCCTCTCTTATCTGTCTCTCAGTTTTATTCAATGGGATATATTCTCCAAAAAGCTAGGTGTCAATCAGGAGATTGGATGCATCATAGCAAATGTAACAATTGCCAGAAGACTTAAGGGAGCATTGTTAATAAAAGCTGCTTTCAGATTGGTCCTTCATTTCCAGCAGGATACTACCTCTCCCAAGCCAAAAAATCTACAACCTTTTTCCCCACATTTCCCAAATTCTCTGGCATGTATCGCATTCACTTTTACCTTGAAATCTTCTTAACTAATTCTTTTAAATAAGGTAACCAGCAACATGTGCTCGTCTGGATCTGACAAGCCAGGTCCCACCCTTGCTGTTGATTTCAACTCAAATAAAGCTCCTTCTGTATAGGCCAATTAAAAGATATGCACGCCTAGCTCATACCCACCCCAAACTGATTTTCTTTCCAACTATATCCCTATGTTAAATATTTTGGGTTGCTGGAGTACAAATATTTTCAGGCTAAATTTACATACAAAACACCGCTAAATTTAAGTAACAAAAGACAGGTATGACAAACTAGCACATGAACTTAGATAAAATCAAAGAGTATATAGGGTGAAGGGCTTAAACATTTAATACAATTAAATCCATTTAAATTGCAACATTAATTTGACCTCTCGCCATAAAAACTAAATAAACTGCGCAATCAACATTTTCCTTGCTGTTACCCAACCCATTCATTGTTAAGAAAACTGTACATTTCCACATAGAATTTCTGTCAATTATATAAACAGAGTTACATGGGCAGTCCAAAGATGAGAGCTGGGACAGGTATATCATATTAATTATATTTTCTCATGAAGAAAACATAATGAAAACCCCATGTTAAGACTCATGTGCCTCAAAAGCAGGCACAGATAAAGCAACTTATGCATTGCCATTTCTAGATACCCAGCCTCCATCAACCTGGATTCTGCAGCCTTAATGTAAAAGAAACAGGGATATGTGACAGGCTAAAAGAAGGCTATGGGACCTGAAATACATCCCACAAAGTGTGAAAATTTTCAAGGCGGAAGGGGGAGGGCCAAAGAGCCATTTCTGAAGGATTTGGTTCTTAAAGAACACCCTCTGATGGCCTTGAATTTATGAAAGTAATTTACTCTCCAACCAGAAAAATCCAATCTCATGTTGCATAGGAAAACATCAAAGACAGACTACACAAAAAAGGAATAACAGAAAAGCCAATTTCTAGCTTATTGACTCTTACCCTATTAGGTGTGTAAGTAGAATAGTAACAGTGCAGTAACTCTCTGGTATCTTCTCCTTTTAGATCACCACAAATAACAACCTGTTCAAAGTATAAAGTAATACATTTTTTCAGTCTTTTCTAAAGAGTAAGTGACTCAGTAAGAAAACTCTCTAGTAAAGACTTACTGATAAAATACAACAGACATGGGTTTAGAAGGAGAAATATTCCGTCTCCCTGGATGCACTGAAGAGGACATTCTCAATGTGTAACATAAGAATGCTAGATTGAATTCACTGACATTTTCAACTGATGGAACCAAATTCATGAGTTTCTTTGATTGGGAACAGTCATATTAGGTATAGTTTTTTTCCTCTTGATCTTTCTTTTTAGTCTCCCTCCAAAACTTAGAAATTAGAAATATTCTAATTTTTTTTTTTAGCTCTGCTTATGGCTTATGCGATTTCTGCCCCAGCTTAACCCACTTTTTAAACTAAGGCTATTCAAAATGTACCACAAATCCTGGAATTTAAAGTTTAGAAGAGAAACAGGAGGTGAGCTTTGCCAAAAAATGATCTTGGCTTTAGACTGGCAATGATAAAACAGAACATCAAACAAATTGTCACAATTCATAACTATAAAGAAAGGGAGGAAAAAAACATGTAAAAAATGATACCAACAACCAAATAGTAACTGGGAAGAAACTAAGCTGTAATTGTAAAGTATTTGCTGAAGTTCTTCTAACATAGTGCAAAAAGAACTTGAAACCGTGTGCAGATTAGCCTTGTTTCGCATTGTACCAGTTAATGAAGGCTCAAAGCAGGAGTCAAGACAACCAGGATGGAAGTTTTCCAAGGACAGAGTGGTCTCACTATTAGTAAGGAAAATACAGAGCAGACTCAAGAAAAAAGGGCAGAACTTTAATACAATGAGTCTACTTGTGAAAATCTCAAATCTTCCCTCTAATCCCCGATTTACAGCCATTCATTTAACAATGATTCGATGCTATGACAGCCTCAGGAAAAGTAATTTACAACCTATCCTTAAAATTAGGGTCATCACACTATCCCTGCAGCCATGTGATTGGATGCTTGTCAGCCAGCTTGCATTTACAGTATGATGCTGGCAGCATCTTGAGCTCACATGGTTGTGATCTGTGACATTCCCAGCTAGCTTCCAACAAGGAAAATCAATTGGGAAAGATTCACTTAACAACTGTGTGAATCATTCAACAATCATGGGATTCACTTAGTGACTATAATAAAAGTGGTCTTAAAATCAGGTTTGGTTACATGATGACTTGCTTAACAACCCACATCGCAACCAAAATCCTGCTCCCACTTGTGGTTAAAAGCTGAGGACTATTTGTGTTTTGATATCCCCAAAATTTCTTACACAATGCTATTACTTCCCTCTGTCTAAATTAGCCTTCTGCTTTTTCGTGCCATTCAGATTTGTTTTACCACAACTTTTTAGAATCACTAGTGAATAACCACTGGGAATATAGGAGTTATCTCTCAACTCCTAGGAAACTATTAAATTGGGGAACATTGCTCTAAATGCTGCCTATTAAATCTTATTCTGCCCAGTACAGTACCTGTTTGAGTGTCAAATAAAATGCAGCAGTGGCTCGCGCCATCTCAGGAAGGGCAACAGGAATCTTCACCAGTCTCTCTGAGAAGACAGTTAGGATCTGCCCAGCTTTCTTTACCCATTCTTCATGGTCAGTATAGCTCGCTGCCCGGAGCAGATTAAAAACTGCAACAGAGTTGGGGCTGGGTTCTGCACCATCTTGATCTATAACAAAGGTCAGTAAATCAACTATTTTTTGAACACAAAACATCTACACACTTTTTAATTAAAGGTTTTTTTGGTAATGCTCTAGCATCTTCTATACCGTAAAGCAGAAATGGGGGTGGATGGGTGGGTGCATAGGATAAGCAATTAACATTGTGCCATCACAATACAGTCACCGTTCCTTTCTGTATGGACACTGTGACCTGCATACATATACAAGAGGAGTGCAGCTTGCATTCCATTTTCATGACACTTGTTTTCTCAGTTTTCTTATGTTATCAGTTTCTTTTTCAACTGTCAGGTTCTTCAATGTTCCAGCCTTAAGAGGTACAATTTATTTTAATCCCATTAAATTAAGTGAGGCCAAATCCCAATAAAATAGGAATAGCTGAGAGCTGTTATATAATTGTCAGGGATTTGCTTCTAGGTCTTAGCATTCACACTGTATGCTCCCCCATGTCTGACTGCAGTCAGCCAACTGCTCTCACGGGGCCTACCCAATTCCTACCTAACACCAGGCTATCTAGGACAATAGCCAAAGAGCAGTTAAGTCACACTATAGTCTACATATACACTGACATTGTACCACCTAGACTGTTCGGTTTAATACCAATAAATGACAGCCAACGGTACTGAGAACATGTTAAATAACATAAAAGCGTTAAAGGGCAATAAATGTATAGGCTTGCTGCAGAAATACAGTTTTTCTATTTCCTCAGTCTATATGCCTTATTCATACCTGCACAACCCATTAATGTTCCATGTTTGCAGTCCCACCACTTATACCTACCAAGACTAAAAACTGGAAGATAAATTGGGGCTTCTGATTAATCAGATCCCCCCCTTAAGCAGATACCATGCATTATTTTTTGCAGATGTTTGTATAGTGAAAAGAAGCACAGAAACTACTTTTTGGCATTCTCATGTCAGAAGGAACCTTATCTACCATATAGTATTCATGTACATTTTGTTACAGAGAAAGATTAAGAGATTGCTAGACCAGCATTCCCCAAACTTTCCGGGTTGGTGGCCCGGGGGGGGGGGGAAGAGAAGGGATGGTTTTATGCGAAGGGCAGGTGTGCATGCATGGCTTCATTTGTGTGAGCACAAGTGAGCCTGCACATGCAAGTGTGCTCTTCCGTCGCTGGCGCAGCCCAGTTCCAAATGTGCCGTGGCCTGATAGTGAGCCGTGGCCCAGGGGTTGGGAACCCTTGTGCTAGACTACCACAGTGCTAATCGGGAAAGGAATGCTAACTATCATATCTCCTTACTCTAAACTCTCCCAATGGACAAGATACCTCCATCGTCTCTACTAAGGCAATGCTGGAGAATTCTGAGGGTTGCAAGTTCATATTGGAGAGGTACTAGATTGTAAGAGCACCTAGCAAAGCTCATCTATATTCATAAGCATCTATTACAATGTCACTCAAGTAAAAAAATATATATTATGCTTATATACAGTGTTCTTTGCCAAGTAAAGCTTAACTTGCTTCAGCTAGCTTAAAAAGATCTGGTTAAGTCACCAGGCAAGAAGCCAGGAGACTGTGAGTTCTAGTCCTGCCTTAGGCATGAAAGCCAGCTGAGTGACTTCTGTTATTCTTGCATATTCACCTTCTAGTTTTTTAGTCAGCAAAAGACTAAAAGGTTGTAAGAGAACACATAGTTATCTTCAGATTCATTCCTCCATTGGCAAGTTAGTTTATTTTCAAAGACAAATCAACAATTAGAACAAGGGCCTATAAAGTTTTAAAAAAAATCACTCCTCTATACCAGTTCTTTAATCCCCAACACATCTGTTCCTTAACTTAGCTTCAACTGCAAAGAGAATATCAAAGGTGGCAAGCTGAAGATTTCCCATGGGCCAATAAAAAATCTGATTATCTTCCTGTTCATACCTTTGACACCTCTGCTACTGGTTACATCTGTACCTGAGGTTAAGTAAGGATGGAATGAATTGAAGGGGGCACTTTGAGACAGTACATGGTAGTGAATGAGAAGTTGGAAATCCTCCTTTGGTTAGATATTAATCCAAGCTTGAAAAATAATGGAATTTTTTCCTTTGAGGTAATCTTTTAAGTATCCTGGAAAATTGTTTATAAAATAAGCTCAGGAGAAAATACAAACTCTAATTAATTGTAAATTGCTTTTTTTTTACATTAACTGTTGAATAATTCTGTTCTAGGTGAGCAGTATTACTAGTACAATACCCAGACCACAGATTGCTCTTTGACCACCATTGAAAACTAGACTCTCCTTCTGAAAGAATACATACCATCCTTCATGCGAAAGAGCAAGGAAGGATCAGCAGCTTCTGTGGAGAAATAGGCAAAACCCTTTGGATCCCAGAAGAGCTCATCTTGCTTATGCTGTAACTCCACAGCCCATTCTAACCAGCTTGGGTTCAGTGTAGCTTCATATAGATCAAAGAGTGCTTGGATTACAAAGACATAGTCCTCTAGGAATCCATGGATAGGCACAGAACTGAGAAAACAAAGGAGGGAAAAAATCCAGCCTCATAATAGAAGTTCATAGCGATCATTACTAAATCTAATTCTTGCTATGAGCCCCACAGAGAAATGTTTGTGAAATATTTCCAGCCATTTCTGATATTCCAAGAGAAGATACAAGATTCTGATTGGTTAAATGACATTCTCTAATATCCAGGCAGAATTCTATTTCTTTTGCACTGTGGCAATGACTTTGACCTTGTCTTCTTGAATATGAGATTGAGAATTGAGAAACTATAAGTATTTGTTCTGAGAAATTACTGTCACTCTCATACCAGAAACTGCTACAGGAGATTGGTACATTAAGTACTGCTGGATAATCTAGCTCAGAGGTCCCCAACCTTTTAGGTACCAGGGACCGGTTCTGTGGAGACAGGCTTTTCCATGGACCGGAAAGTGCGTGATTTTGTGTGCTGCCTGCATTCCAAGGATGGGGCTTTGCTTGTTTGTGCGGACCGGTTGCTGGCATGCCACAGACCAGTACTGGTCCACGGACTGAGGGTTGGGGACCCCTGGTCTAGCAGCATTTTATACAATGTAGAGGGAGGGATGTAATATTTTTATGTTTGTATAACATACAAATATATGTATGTGTCTATACCAGTGGTTCTCAACCTGTGGGTCAGGACCCCATTTGGGATCGAACGACCATTCCACGGGGGTCGCCAAACAACACAGTCCACCATTTTTTTTCTCTTTTTCCTTAGCTGTGCTACTCCCTTTTATTCTATTGGCTTTTGAAAGCCAATAGAATAAACTCTCTTGAATAGAGTCTAATTCTATTGGCTTTCAAAAGCCAACAGGAATTGTCCAGGCTGTCTCTGCCCTGCTGAGCCTGCCAAAAATCCCATTCTGCAAACGGTGCTGCACCAGTTGAGCAGTCCTCGACTTACGACCGGTTGAGTAGTCCTCGACTTACAATCAGTTGGGGGTCGCGGCATTAAAAAGGTTGAGAACCACTGGTCTATATACACATTCTCTCCCTACTCTTAGACCAGCATCTTCTACCACCATTCTAATTTATAAAATATTAAAAGATATACACTTTTTTAATTCCAGTTTTGCTCTGGATGTTTGGAAAAGACAGCATAGACAGTTCTCAAATTCAATATAAATGTTTTCTATCTTCTTAGACGGAAAGTGAAGGATAGCAACCCCCTTTTGAAAACAGTGGTTATTGTATTTTGGAAACAAGGCAAGTGAAGAACCAATATATTTCTCCAAATGTGTGGACCAAATAAGAAAAATAGTACTTCAATCTCTCTTGAAGTGATATTAACAAAGGTGAAGATCTTCACCACTGAAATTAACCTGGGAGCAAAATATTTATCCATGAAAAAATGAGTGCAAATAGTTTCAACATCTCCTGCTTGAGCAGGGTCCTGGACTAGAAGACCTCCAAGGTCCCTTCCAGCTATATTCTATTCTATTCTATTCTATTCTATTCTATTCTATTCTATTCTATTCTATTCTATTCTATTCTATTCTATTTCTATTCCTATTCCTATTCCTATTCTTAACCTCTTCAGTCTTCCCCTTCTTTGTCTCTTCTCACCATCTTTTCTCCCATCAGCTCAATTTGCTATCTACTTAAGAAAAGTTCATTCTGAGATTTAAAAAGCAGGTGTGAAACTGGTGTTGTCATAAAGTAGACAAGCAAATCACCTTTCCTTCCTCATTACCTCTAACTCTATTGACAGATATGTAATTTGTGTTTGGTCAAGAGAAGAGCCAATTTTAAGATGACATAGCCTGTCAGAAAGTGAGTATTTGCACAACTAGCCAATCTCAGAGAGGTACCTACTGGCTCCTATGAAAAGGTAAGAGGCAGTAAAAGGCCTTATACTGTACCAGTTTAAACTACAATGTACTCTTAGGTTCTTCCACTGTATACCTAATTTTAATCAAAAGGTTTCCGCTTTCAGATGGAATCCTAATTGTCAACAGGGTCTTATAATGCCTCCAGTGTTACTGGTTACTATTACTCATCCACAAACAAGACACAGAAACAAATACAGGTTTACAATGTTTACTATTTAAAACCTCCATTTACTCTCACATACACATGTCCATTCATATCTACCCAACTTAAAGCATGACCGGGTAGGCTAGGTTTGAGTTTCAAAGCATTGAAGCAGGACCCTACTATGCACACTCCTCGATCCTCTGGAATGGCTTCATTATCCAATTTTGGCAGTTTTCTCATGATTGGTACTTTTTCACCTCATCCAGTTCTCATGGAAATTACCTGTTGTTTTGAAAGCAACTTTTGCTATATCTACTTCAAAGCATCATTCTACCTAGACTAAATAGGCTGCAATCTTCTATCTAGAACAAGGCTTTCTACCACTCTGGCCTAACCTAAATGGGCTTTATATACTCCATCTTTCATACCATCTATTCACACAAATATATGATGCATGTAGTCCTCACTTAACAACTGCCCTATTTAGCAACCATTCAAAGTTATGATGTGCTGAAAAAGTTACTTTGCAACCAATCCTCAGACTTATGATCATTACAGTGTATCTGTGGTCATGTGATCACCATTTGTGTGCTTCATAGATGGATTTCAACAAGTAGAGACAATGGAGAAGCCGACAGTAAAATTGCAAGTCATGGTCATGTTATGTCTTATTTAATGACTGCATTGCTTAGCAACAGTTTCTTGTCTCAATTGTGGCTGTTAAGTGAGGACTATCTGTATAAAACCATATTATCAGTATACCACGGCATTATCTAATGGTTATCATTACAAGTTAAGCACACTTATTAGTATCAATATGATTGTATATGATCAGCATACTCTACAGGTCTGCAATTAAATGTTTCTATCATTTAAATACTGACTCTCCATAGCAGGGGTCCCCAACCCCCAGTCTGTGGACTGGCACCAGGCTGTGGCAAGCCAGAAACCAGTCCACACAAACAAGAGAAACCCCATCTGCAGGATGCAGGCACACAAAACCACGCCCCCCTCCAGTCCATTAAAAAACCTTTCTCCCAGGAACTGGTCCCTGGTGCCCAAAAGGTTGGGGGCCACTGCTCTATAGTACTTACCTTATAAGTGCAACCTGAAAATTGCCATCTGAAATGTCAATAATAACAGTGTTTGCCTAGTGGTAAATGGTATCCATGAAGGGACAGTGAGATTGAGTACATGAAGCAGGTTGAGCACATAAGCAAAAGTATTATACTCTCCATTAAGTTATTTAAAAAATAAGAACAATAAAAAACAAAAGCAAGAACAAAAAATGATAAATTGCTTATAATTACTAAGGCCAGATGTTGCCCTGCTAATTCAAGCTGGTACCAATCCATAGGTACTAATATTAGTGAGAATTTTACAGTTTTGTTCTTTAAAATATGATTTGTTTCTCCAGTTTAACTATGGTTATGATATCTGGATTTCCTAATTAGCAGAAAAGTCTTTTGTGCCATCTAAATATCAATTGTATTTTCGTAACTCAAATAGGTTGAGGATAAAGCCAAGGATCAAGTGAGGGGGAAAAAACCCAGGCTGGAAACTCCAAATTTCATGTTCAGATCTATAATAAGATTGAAGTATATATATATATATAGGCCACATCTGCCTAGCATGCCCTTAGAGGTTTTATCTTGCAGGCTTCACTGGTTTCTCAACTCAGCAAAATTCTAGGTCTACCATTCTCCAATACCAACCTGCCTCTTCTCATCCACACGCCTTTCAATATCACAGAAACAAAAATGCAGTTGCCACGTGTTTGTGTAAGAAAGAAGTCTGCTTGTTTCCAGGCCAGGGTATTTATTCATCCCAGAATAGTTTTGCATCCCAGAATAGTTTTGCTTTTAGTTGGCAACAACTCTGCATGGACCCAGGCGCAAATCTTTCCCAACGCCTACTAACGAATGCTTTTAACTGGATCCAGGAGGATGAATCAGAACCTCAGCATTTACAGCAGGTGGTCTATCCCTGAGGAAAGTCCCATTCATTCTCCCTCGGTCCGCTTTTTCTTCTTTTTGGTGGCACTGCAGTGCTTCGGATTGCCTGCCACTTACCTGTGGGTCACTGTGTTGCCGTGTCCTTGGTAACAGGTTCTTAGCAGCTTTCCACTGCTGGCATTAAACATGTGGTCTTGCAGGAAGGAAGCTGCACGTACAGCTCGGTCAATGTATTCTTTCTTGCCTAAGATGGCTCCACACTGAGCAAAGCCGGAGATCATCAGTCCTAGAAGGCAAATTGGTGGGAGAATGCTCATTTGAATTCATACCCTCGGAATATTCAATCTATGTTTCTTTTGACCCTGATAATCGTCCCCTCATAATTTAATCAGTTTAAATCATTTCTTCCTTAAAATGATTCTTTTGCACATAGGCTGAAGACAGGTAAAAGCAGATTATCATTTATCAAATGCTTCACTTGCCACATGAGCAGAGCATTATTTTATATACTTTATTTTGCTCCAAATCAGTGATTCGGGCAAAAAGAAGTAGACAATGTCTTCATCACTCATGACACAATGATTCACTCACAGAAGTCAGGGCTTGATGAAAATAGTTGCCTGCAAAGATCACCAATCAGTAGGTCTTCGTGGCTCTGAATTGTTTTTCACTATATTAAAAAATGAACTTAGAAACTTAAATAGAAGGTTTTTGAAAACTTACCTGTGAATTCTGGAACCACTTGGACAGCATATGCATTGCCAAGAGAGATAGTTAAGTGAGCTTGTCTATTATTTTTTTCATTATACAGTATGTTCAAGTATCTTCATTTCATAATGGAGAGAAGTGCTCCCTCTATATTTATATAATGTGAAAAACTACAATAACATAAACACCTTCATGGATTAAGGGAGATTTTTTATTTTATTTTATTTTATTGGCTGCAAGGGAATAGGAAAAAGGTGCTACTGCCCCCTGCTGTCAAAACAGTTTCAATAAATAGTTCTCTAGATTACTTTTGGCCAGAAGAAAAAAGAGGAAAAGATCAAAAGCCAGGAGAAAGAAGGAAAAAAGAACTAGCTAACTTTAGTGAGTTACAAACTATTCTTCTAACACCACAGAAGCAGACTTATCAGGTGTGGTTAAGTTGGCTAACCAAATGATTTCTCTTGAATGGCCACACAGTGGAAGAATTTTACTACAACAAATATACTGCTCTCTCCTCACAGAAGTATTCCAAGTGTCAGTGCAGTTTGGAAAAGTGTGTTACTGAGCTCCATGCAAAAGAACAAACCTCACCATTCCAGGATGCAAGCATCTTGCTGTCCAGATGGGGCCGTGGCCGCTGAGTTCGTGCCTTGAATAGTTTCTGTCTACTTTTAACCAGCAATGTCTTCAGCTCTTCCAGCCCCAGTCCAAATCGAGCAGCTGTAAGTTCCAGGGAATATTGCATTATCAGAACATTTTTTCCTTTTAATTCATTGTGAGGGTCCTGAAATAGAAGATTAGTGTAAGAAAATAAGGAATGCTTCCTTAAGCCTTCACATGGTAGAACGATATAAGGTATGTGACCTATCAATGGAATATTCTCAGATGGGTAATTTTATTGACATCATCCAATATTATTCTTTTTTGTGTTTGATTTTTTATATATATATGTGCATTATGTCACTAAATTTCCCTCCTGTTCAGGGAGGTGCTTGAAACATTACTTAAATATTCCAAAAGTTTTGCCATTTGAAAAAGATTGAATATTCCTAACTACTTCATCTATCACAACACTGTCATGACCTTATCAAAACAGTCCTTCCTGGATCTCCTAAATAATTATTCTCTTCTGTCAAAAGACTAAATTACCTATAAAGCCTTTTCACTACTTTGGGAGCATCAAATAGTGAAATTCGTTTTCAAGTCCAACTTGAAGTTTTTAATCAATCAGCGTTGCCTTATTTTACATAGCAACTGTTGTCTGAATCTTTTTTTTAAAAAAAAAAAAAAGAACCCCTTGAATATCTTGCAGCACCACAGAGCTCTCCCCTATCATTTTCTTCCTTCCTGGAATGATCAAGTGGGGATGAAACATTGTCTGATCAGTATTTCTTGTGAGATCATCTAGATATGTCAGTTTCCCTTGATAAGTCATTCCCAGAGCAAAACAAAACAAAATGAATAGCCTCAATGAATTAGCTAAACACAACATAGCTCAATACAATCAAGAGAAAACAAATAAAGCTATCAAATGCATGTCCTAGAAATAAGAAATTTTAATTAGGACCAGCAATTGATCCTGCTGATTTCCCTTAGCCTGTCTTAGCTAACAATTTCATTGATTTCAAGTAGGGCTATATTTCAAGGCAAACCTTATTAATGAACAACTCGTGGATATAGGTAGTCCTTGTTTAGTGACTGCCTCATTTATCAACCATTCACAGTTACAACAGTGATGGAAAAGTAACTTCATGACCAATCCTTGATTTACAATCTTTGCAGCAAAGAAAAGCTAAGGTAAGATCGTAAGCACAGTCATAGTTTTTCTTGGCGATTATTTCATTTCTCGACTGAGTTGACAGTCTCAATTGTGGTTACTAAACGAGGGCAAGACAACTGGACATTTATTCCAATAAATGAAAGCTTCTAGTATTCTATCAGCTTTGAGAATTAGTGATCCTGAATTCTGAGATCTTAGAAAGCTCATCGTCTCATCAGAACTGAGAATCCTGTGCCCAGCAAGACACAGATATCTGTTGGCTAACACAGAGTTCCCAAACCTTTCCTGCTTTGCAGACCAGTGGGGGAGGGGGAGAGGGAACAGTTCCATGCAAGCCAAGGGCAAGCACATGCATGTAGCTCCATTTGCGTAAGCGGCAAGCACACCCACTGCTCATGCAAATGTAACGCATGCGCACAAGTTCACCTGCTGCTCATACAAGTGAGGATGCACGCATGTCCTCACCCAACACTTTCGCGACCTGGTTCAGAAGGGCTCAAGACCCAGTAGTGAGCCCACAACCCAATGGTTGGGAACCCCTGGGCTGACACGTGTGTCATTACTAAGAAGGGACTCAACTCTCCCACTCTTACAGGCTCTCTAAGCCACCCCTTCCCAACTGTACCTTCATTGGATTCACATTGCCATCTTCCTTCATTCCATAGTGATGCATGAAAACATCTGCCACAATTTTTTTCTCTGGGATCCCTTCAACGGGATCTGGCAGGAGCTGCCGAATCTCTTCAGCTGTCCATACGCAAAATGCACCCTCTTGCTTCTTCTCTGATTGGACTGTAGCGTATGAATCGGCATCCTCTGCACTGTAGAAACCCCCTGACTGAAAAACCATAGAATTAACAGTATCACAGGCTTTAATGTACAACCCAATTTTTAAAACGTGTATGCGAGGTGGTAAGATCTGCCTAAGAAATGGGACTGATTGAGGTCTCCTTTTTCCCCTCCTGAGCCTGCCTAACGTACCCATTCCCTGTTGAGTAATCAATGGCCAGGTTATTAAGTGAAATGTTTGCTAGATGAGCATGTGATTGGCTGAAAGACAGAGAGATGCTGCCATCTCATTTAGATAAAGTTGTCCCATACAGTTATACCATCGTTACTCTCACTCAGCATGAATTGTTGTCAGGCATAAGAAATTTGGTTTTAAACATGTGCTTTGCTCAGAAAAAGATGTTTTTAATTACCATTGCATTTGCCAATAGTCGCTAAGCAAAGTAATAGCTAAGTGAGGAGTGAGTGATGTCTGCAATAGGCCCAGATATTAGCCTAATCTTCAGAGGCAAAAATAAAGAATGTTGCATGAGAAAGAAAAAAAAAACCTAGACATTTTCCTTAAAAACTAGAGGCTTTCTACAGTACTTGTACTTATAATCATGTATAAGTATGAAGAACAAAGTTTAGATACAAAGATTCTTTCACATTTCTGAACTTAAAATAAACACATTCCTAAATAAAGAATCTCTGGCCTAAACCATCAATCTCTACTATACTTTAAACATTTTGACTTTTCTGTTCTAAACCATGCCTGCTGAACTGGTGATCCTTAACTGGGTGAATATAGCACACTTGCCTTGGTTTTGACAACCCATTTTAACCCATTTCAAAAAAGCAAAGAAAATAGCTGATAACTGGGTGAACTGCCAGTGTTTAGTTTGGTGAACTATAAATTGGCTAAGTAGGACTGATAATTTTTGAACATTCATACATTCATAAACTATAGCTCCCAGAAAACCAACCAAACATAGTCTAGCTGCATTTATTCCAGATGTTGCTGGCAACTCAGCAGCTTATCATCATCTAATAGCAGTAAACCTTACATCGTCACTCAGATCTCGAGAAACATAAAGCAGAATGTCGGCTGCCGTGTCTGCAAAGAATTCATCACCAGAAATCTGCATAAAATACAAGAAAACATTATTCCAGAAAAAATGAAATTGGAAGAACACTACGCAATAATTCTTTTCTTGGAATAAACAATGTAAAAAACCAATTTGGAGTAAGAAGAAGTTTTATACAAAACCATGAAACCACAGGTTGCCTAATATCTAGACCAAAATCTGAAGTTTGAAAAGAAATCATTTACTTGTTGTAATATTACACAACTCACACACCCTGAGACAGTGTTTACTATTCATATTTCACATCTGAGTAATATCTAATAGCCCTACAGCTGTAATATCTCACATTTAATCTTTTAAACTCATTTAAAGTTATACATGATATGGAATTTGGCCAATAAGCATATTTACAGTGTTGAAAAATTGCTGTAGGTTAAAGAGCTTCAAGGAGACAGAGCCTGACTATTCCTAAAACAGGTATTAACGTGGAAAACAACCAGACCCAATATGCCCATCTACTAGAAGACAAAGTGATTGTGCCTACCCCTACTCTATTCCTTTATTTTGCTGTTTTACAATTGTCTTTTTTTGTTTTCTGGACAGGTAGCAAATTTCCAACAAAGTAATAGGCTGGAATTGCTAATATCCATTTTTGTTTTCTAAGAATACAGCCCATATGGAGCAAAACAAGTAATCTTGCAAAGAAAGATATTGTTAAAGGCCAATGCTTTGCTTTGCAGGTTACCTGCAAAAGATCTATTAAAAAATTATCTCAGCTTGGGGCAAAATCTGGTGGAAACCATGCTGGGAATCCTAAGTATATAGACAAGCATGCAATCATTTGTCCAGGTTCCATGAATATAATCTCAAATCCATAGGAATATACTTCACAAATATTACTATTTAAATAAACATAGAAAGGCTTCCTGATTAAATCCAGTTCTGAGATTCAGCCAAATGTAGATTCTTGTGAATTTCACAGTTGGAAATCTTTTTTTGAACTCCCTCTGGGGAACCTGATAATGACCAATTAAAATCAGAGTAGGAGAAAGAAAAATGGCTTAGCCTTTAAGCTCTCTTCTCTACTCCTAGTCATTTCACTCATAATTCTACCCCAAAATTCAAACAAAAAGTGTCATATGTACAGTCAATCACTAGATGGATATCCAGCCTATTTGTCTCAAAAGAGCTATCACACAACTTACAATTAAAATTCATCAATACAACAGCATTACATCTGTCTGTCTGTCTGTCTGTCTATTTATTTATTTATTGCGGAAGTTACTCTGTAATAAAGTGGGAGACCAATTCCTTTTTACAAATCAATACATACAAATAATTAAATGATCATTATTTTCTGCTGATACCAATAATATGGAAAACAGACATTTTGATAAAGAACTCCAAATAATGATAAACTTCTCTACTTCCATCCTTCACCACAGTAATCTGTTCCCATGTTTATCTGATCAGCTGACAATAAGGAAAAGTGAGCCGGATGCTTAGGCCTCTGCAGACTATGAAGATTGGACCTGAGAACTATACGGTCCATAGGTTTTCCATAGTACTAGAGTATAAATATATTAAAATATTAGTCTTTCTTAGCCCTTAATGAAACACAGTTGTAAACTGACATCAACTTAAACAAGAGTTATACCTCAATTTCTGTTTCCCCCCAAAAGCTGAGTGAATAACAAAAATACAGCTGTTCAGAAGATTTTAACGGAACATGTTTGGTACACCTTTTATGGGAGATTATTTTGCAAAAAAAATACTGCTACAGGAAAAGGCCTTGTGTTCTATATAAACAAACAGTAATTGGTTGCAGACCCAACTCGAGGTATATGATGTAAACCACAAAAGACAGAACATTTGTGAAATGACATTACCATTTTCATTTTAAATAAGGAATAGTCAGCTTTCAAAACTATTGCTCTTGTAATTATAAGCAGCGTGAAGTAAAAACAAAAAAGCAAAACTCCCCTTCAGGACATATTATAATATCATGGTGATGCATGGATTTGAAACCTGATGACTCCAATTTATTTTCTTAAAAATCTAAACAAATGCAAGTACTATCATATATTTGATATATCCTCTAGTACAATTCTAATATTATCTGTTTTAAAGTATTTCAGGATGTCTCAGAGGATCTTACAACTCAAATATATTTTTATTTGTAGATATTTGCATTGCTTCAAGAGAAAGAATGGCATTATAAATGCTAGAATTAATACAGGATGTTTTTGAAAAGTAAACAAACTAGTTATGAAGGAAAAATAAAATCTGCAAAGAGACTTTGAAGAACAAAGGGATATCATATAATTATGCTGGTTCTCTTGGAAACCTAAAAAACAAAAGGTATCCTGCCATGCTGCTAATATACTGCTAAAAATGATTTCTATAAACTTTTAATGGGGTAAAATAATGCACCACAGGACAAAACCTTTTGAATCAAAGTATCTCAAATGAGCTAATTTAAGGAATATGTTCAAAATTCAGTATTTATTATTACAACAATATCACAAAGCAGTTTATGACATAATACAAAATGTCATAAAACATTTCATGCTCATGTCTGACTGTGCTATGCAGTTCAGCATGGGTTAAACTATTAATGTCATAATATAAAATATCATAAAACATTTCCTGTGCTGATGTTTCTCCTATACAATTCAATAGGACTATTTTCAAGGCAGATACATATCTGAATGTAACCCAACTTCTCCAGCTGGAGAAAAAAAAGCACATTAGAAGCTCTATCGTTATTCAAGGCTTCGAAGAAACTGGTAAAGAAATATCTCTGAAAAAATGACCCAATGGGGCACGGGCTGTCTTGTATCATTTAATTCTGATTTAGTTTCTCTTTGGATGAAAAACAATCCCCCTCTATCACTGTTTGCCTTTGATTATGAAATCCATCGTGATAGTGGATGGACACATTTATGACACTTGGAAATCACATGTGAAAAATAATATTGGAAGTGTTGGGCTGTAAGGTGCTAACACCCCAAAATTTTGTAAGAGGTAATTTTAGGTGGAGTACTAAAGAAATTCATTTAATCCCAGAACTTGTCTGCCATAGAGAAAGTGCAATAGTCTCCAAGTCAGTAAACTGCTTTTTTTTTGGGGGGGGGGTTCATCCTCTCAACAATGCTAGGCAAATATTCTGTAAAGTTCCAAGTGATATGTCTAAATGTTGCTTTTGGTTTTCATATCACACTTGGGGTGCCAAAATTATTGCTAAAAATAATGGCAGTAAGAAACAATGGTGGCACAGGGAAGCTGTATCAATAGTATCAGCATTCCCTTTAGTTGTCATTGATGTCATTAAAGGAACAAAAGAAAGAAGAACCCTCTGTTTTATCTGTACCAATAAATGAATTCTATGTGCAAGAACTGAAGTAAAGAAATGAAATGTCAGTCTACAATATTTTCTTCTTGCCTCATCCTCCTCTTTTTGCCCTACAATTCATGGTTATCTCCATATTCATTCAGCCATAAGTGGAGAATGTCCTGTAACATTAAAAAGGATTCAAGAACTCACCCTAGTCATTAACAATAACATATTCTCGTTCAAATATCAAAGACTAATTTGAATCTCAACTGTTGTTCCAGATCCAAGGAAATACACTTCCCCGAAGACTGGTCAACTCTCTCGCATTGAACAGTAGGTTTTCTATACACACCAATAGTACTGTTCCACAAAGGTATGGCTACTAGGCATCACAAGATTTATACCTGGGTAAAACTGTAACTTTCACTTTGCCATTCATCTAAATCAGCAAGAAAGAAACAAAGGTAATGAAAATTACCCATTTTTTTTTGCTCCCGGATACCATTACAATTTGCTTTCTAGCTCATATAAACAGAGTGAATTCATCGGTTCTTTTGGGCCTTAATATGCTGGCAAAAGATTTTGCTAAGGAATACCTGAAATGCCTTGGCATACGCTGCTGCCAGCTGACCCTGATCATACAGCATTTTTTCAAAGTGAGGGACATGCCAACGTTGGTCAGTAGAGTAGCGATGAAACCCCTGCAGAAGAATTGAGGATGAGAGGGATGGAGAAAAATCTTTTCGTTATTTTTGCCATGTAAGAACTAGGATTCAATCTTCTACCTAGGCAGTACAAAATAAGAAGATGAATAATTTTGAGAGTTAACTGATCAGGCCAACAATTTCACTGGTCACCAAATGATCATGATGATTAGTTGGTGGATAAATGGCCTAATGATAATATGAAACTGCCAGTACGTCAGTCACATCACAATCTGCAATGATTTAACTCATTCACAGAACATAAATATCTACTAGCTAATACACTGGATGGAAATAGAACAGTAAAAGCATAGTAAAAGTTGGATTTGGCAAACCACGATGTGATGACTGGCATAAGCAGTAAAAATTCCAGGAAACAAACTTCTTCATTTTCTGCTTATCTTTCTAGAATCTGTCACTTCAGCAAAGCATATATTCTATTTCCAAATCAATCATCTAAAAGTCATTTCTCATAAATGTTAAAAGCCTGGACTGATGGAGCGGCTGGAAAAGGGGATGGGAGAAGAGATTATTTTAAAAGACTATCCTAGACAGGTTATTTCCTGAATCATACTGTAAAGATCTCCATGGGCAAAGTGAACGTTGCTACAGAAATCAATAGAGACGATTTTAATATAACCAGGGAAGAGCATATTAGCTCATTCGCATACTAAAATGATCTATTACAGGAGTCCTCAAAGTTTGGGTTCAACTAGTAACAGTAATGGTATTAACAGACAAGAAAGATGTCACAGGCTACCACTTGATAGGTAGCAATGAAGGCCTTTGAAGAGATATTTGGATGCCTTGATTTGTCTATATCTACAAAACTCTAAACTGTTCAGACTTTTTTTCCTATAATATTCTGTAGAAGCAAAGTTAGCCATTGAAGATGTAGAGTTGAAAACAACTCTACCTGGAGTTGAAAATAACTCTTGAGAACACCATGGATAGACAAAAAATAAATAATTTTATTCATTTATTCATTCATTTAATATATATGCCACCCATCTCACCATCAAGCAACTCTGGGTGGCTTATAATCCAGATCACAGAATAATCCAATGCAGAGTCCCCACTCACAGTACAAATGACCAGGCTCAAGTTATCACTTTTGGGAAATAATAATAATAATAATAATAATAATAATAATAAAACTGGTGGGATCATAAAATAGAGAAAGTCATAGAAAATGATAAAATTAAACTGCTCTGGGACTTCAGAATTCAAACAGACAAGCACCTGCAACATAACACCCCAGACTTAACAATTGTCGATAAGAAAGACAAAAAAGTCTGGATAGTGGACGTGGCAGTGCCTGGAGATAGCAGAATAGAAGAGAAAGAACTGGAGAAGATAACAAAATACAAAGACCTACAAATAGAAATAGAAAGACTGTGGCAAAAGCAAGCAAGGGTAGTACCAATAGTCATAGGCTCCTTGGGTGCAATCCCAAAACAACTGGAGCACCACTTGAACACCATTGGCATTGACAAATTTGCTATTAGTCAATTGCAAAAGGCGGCCTTATAGGAACTGCTTCCATCCTGCGACGATACCTGTAATACCATCAAACATCCACATCTGCCTATCCCAGGTCCTGGGTAAGGACTCGATAGGTAGACAAAATGCCAAATCCAGTCTGAACATCTGGCTAACTGTGTGATGATCCATAATAATAATAATAATAATAATAATAATAAAGTTGGAAAGGACCCTGGAGGTCATCAAGTCCAACCCCCTGCTCAGGCAGAAAACCCTACACCAGTGGTGGCAAACCTATGGCACGGGTGCCAGAGGCAGCACTCAGAGCCCTCTATGTGGGCACGCATGCCATTGCCCCAGCCCTGCCACCCCCGTGGCCCCCTCCTCACCAGAAGCTCCCCCGGAGGAAAGTCGCCCTGGGCGCAGCCGGTGTGGAGCAGCACAGCCAAGGACATGGCAGCTGGGCAGCGGGGACAAGACTCCGCCCTCGCGCCCCATCATGTACAGATGATGCTGCGAGATGCGGACAGAGGGTGTGGCCAACATGACGCTGCTGGGCCGCCATGACACTGCTGGGCCACCTGGGCGATCTGCTGTGGCAGGCCATGGAGGTGGTGGGTGGCCCTGCCGGCAGGAGAGGCGGGAGCGGGGTAGGGGTGAGGTTGTTTTTGGGCACTCGGTCTCTAAAAGGTTCGCCATCTCTGCCCTACACCATTTTAGACAAATGGCTGTCCAGTCTCTTTTTAAAAACTTCCAGTGTTGGAGCATTCACCACTTCTGGAGGCAGATTGTTCCAGATTGTTAATTGTTCTAACTGTCAGGAAAGTTCTAGGTTGCTTCTCTCCTTGATTAGTTTCCATCCGTTGCTTCTTGTCCTGCCTTCAGGTGCTTTGGAGAATAGCTTGACTTCCTCTTCTTTGTGGCAGCCCCTGAGATATTGGAACACTGCTATTATGTCCCCCCTCGTCCTTCTCTTCATTAAATTAGACATACCCAATTCCAGAAGCTGTTCCTTGTATGTTTTAGCCTCCAGTCCCCTAATCATCTTTGTTGCTCTTCTTCTCTGTACTCTTTCTAGAGTCTCAACATCTTTTTTACATCATGGTGACCAAAACTTGATGCAGTATTCCAAGTGTGGCCTTACCAAGTATTAATACTTCATGTTATCTTGATTCTATCCCTCTGTTAATGCAGCCTAAGTGATTGTCCACTAGGACTCCGAGATCCCTCTCAGTTACTACTATTGAGCAAGGTACTCCCTATACTATGCCTGTACATTTGGTTTTTTGTTGCCTAAATGTAGAACCTTACTTTTTTCACCAATGAATTTCGTATTATTCTCTCTTGAGAAACCTATAATGGCTATGAATGGTGGAAGGGAAAAAAGGATGGCCAGCAGAAAAATGGATGTTTCAATTATAGTGAAGATGGATGCACAACTGAAAGACCAGGTTTTGGAGGGATCATCTTGGAAGAGGTTTGTGATCACTAGGAGTAAATTTCAACTCAATTAATCAAAAAAAAAATGTGTGGGAGAGACTAGTTAGGCCATGTGTCTGGCCTACAGTGTGCCCTTAGTTTATGTAGGTACCCAAAGTCTCCATGTATCTACTACTACTGCTTTTCATCACAGAAATCTGCTCAATTCTTCCACATGTTGGAAGCAGTACAACCTTCTTGTAAAGCATGAGATGCAGGAACAGTTCCTCTTTTGCAATATCCTTCCAATTACAAACGCCATCAAATCAACTATTTAGCAAGCTATGTATGATATGATTACACTGGAAAGAGAGGACTGATTCATTCCCCATAAGAAAAAATGAGTAGGACCCTAGAGAGAGGATTCTAACAGAGTAGAATATGAAACAATATGCTTTAAAACACCTGCATTTTGGCAATATTTTTAGAATTCAAAAGTGTGCCACAATTTTTAAGAATTATTACATTCCAAAGGCAATTTTGTATTTGTTGATTATACTTTTTATCTAACTTCTCAAAATGGAAAGTAGATTTATGAAACCACAAATGTAAACTGGAAAGGAACAGACAAGCAGACAAACAGGCTCTGACAAACATTATTTCTGAATTCCTTAATGAAAAGTTTCAAATTACGATCTTACCTGTGAAATATGATCATGAATACCACCATATGCCATCATCTTGAGTGTATGCAGGGCCATCTGAAGTGCTCGTGCTCCCTCAGCATTTGACCGTTGAAGACCCCAATAGGAGAAGAGAAAATTCAAATTAACTGGAATAAAAGAAAACAGTAAAGTAACGAACATTAGTCAATTGTTTATGTAGTAGTAGCTCTTCCTACAGAAATAGCTAGACAATCTTGAACTAACCTGGGGTTGGGAATTTGGGAGATTCTGAGAATCCACCATATTCTTCATCATAAGTCTCTGATAGTTGTTGGAAACATCGGGTTGTCACTTCTTTTAAGGATGGGGGTGCTTCCTCCCCTCGAACGCCAACATCAGTCCTAGCTAACAGTGCAGACAAGATTTTCTGGCTGTTTTCCAAAAGGATATTTTTGTTCCGTTTCCACTGAGGAGTGGGGAGAAGATATCTAAGTCATAGTTTGCTACTCTTTATATGTGCCTCATGTAAAAACATATCTTTTCAAGTTGCTTCAAAAAATGGTTTCACATCATAGATGCTGCTCCTCACATATCAATTTAAAAATGAGATAGCAATGCATTAGGGACAATACACTCCAGTTGAGTTTTTACATATATATGTTTGCTCTTATGTAAACTGAACCATTATAGTTACATGCATAACTAATGGGTTAGAATATTGTATGAACTCTACCTATAGTTCCTTCAATAAAAATAGGTTAAATGAGCTAATGTATGAGCCTAGTTAATGAGATGCTCTAAGTTGCTGTATCATGACCATATAGGAAAAAAAATCACTATATAAAATTTTAATCCACAATAATGTTTGCTAATAGTTTTTGTTAATGTATTACCTACCTTCAGCGATATGCAACATTATGTAAATTAAAATATTAAAAACATGTCTTTTTAACCAAAACTGATATCTATCCATGGAATATTTTCCATTAAAAAGTTCTGTATAACTCAGTTTCTCTTTACTTAAATCATGTTTAAGCTGAGCTTAAGCTAAAATTTCTTATTTATTACATTTTCTCTTATAAACCCTTCAAGTAAAAGCTCAAAATTGACACTAGTATGTAGCTTACTCTCTCGTGTGCTATTCCAATGACACATTCAGCTAATTTCAATTATGCATACTGAATCTCATACCTGCTCTAGGATGCGAAGTAGAACAGTCCGAAAGCCAACCTGATAAATTCCATCCTCAGGAGGGAAATAAGTTCCACCTACAAATGGTTTGAGATCAGGAGTCAACCACACACTCATTGGCCAACCACCTCCGCTGCTGGTTGCCTGCAGTGAAAAAGAATGATATAGATCAGAATCCCTTCACATATGTTCTGGAAATAACCAAGTTTTCTCTACATCCAACTCCCCACCTGCACAAAGGTCATGTAAACTTTATCAACATCTGGACGCTCCTCCCGATCCACCTTGATGCACACAAAATTCTCATTCAAAATCTGACCAATTTCTTCACTCTGAAAGGATTCTTGTTCCATAACATGACACCAGTGGCAAGTTGAATAGCCAACTGAAAAAAAGTATAAATTAAAGAAAGATTATTTATGGAAAAAAATGATTAACCATAATTTATAAAGTGTTGGTTTTTAGTCCAAGGGAAGGGGCATGATGGGAGTTTAAGATGAGATCATCCCAAAATCTCCCTTAGCACATTTAAGGGGCTGAGCAAAACAAGAACAAGAACTGCAGATCAAACAAGAATTGCTGACCATAAGCAATGCTAGTGATTCTAATCCTACATAGGTTTTCAAAAAAATGAGAAAATATTACTTCTAAGAAGCAATAATATTAGTATAATAGTAAATAAATGTGATTTGAATGTTTAAGAAAAAGTTTCAATAGTGAAGTTTTGAAAAAAGATTGTAAAAATTGTAGAAGCAAGAAAAGCAATAATAGCACCTTGGAAATGATAAGCCTTTTTAGGTTTTGTTCTGCTGAATGGTTCCTTGTATACTACAATACCCTCAATTAAATATTATCATCTTGTGGGATCAAGGAAGCATGCCTTTTCGATTACTGTCCCTGCCCTCCAGACAGCAAACCCCTCCCAAATATACAGGTGATGCCCAAACCCCTGGAGTTCCAGAAAGACTTTGCTCCCAAGCCAGGGCTATCAAGATATGTATGTATGTATGTATGTATGTATGTGTGTATGTGTGTGTGTGTGTGTGTGTGTGTGTGTGTGTGTGTAGGTCTTTGGTTGTTCGGGTTTTCTCCCGCATAAAATTGGAAGTGTCTTGGCGACGTTTCGACGAAGTCCCATTCGTCATCTTCAGGCTGGTGTTTTCAGCTTCATTGCTCCTCGAAGCACGAAGCTGAAAACACCAGCCTGAAGATGACGAATGGGACTTCGTCGAAACGTTGCCAAGACACTTCCAATTTTACGCGGGAGAAAACCCGAACAACCAAAGACCTACATACAAACACCCGCGAAAACCTCAGAATATATATATATATATATATATATATATATATATATATATATATATATATATATATATATATATATATAAAAACTGCATATATAGATTTTATACATTACCAAGAGTCTACTGGAGTGGGCAGACATAACAAATTTAATGAAATAAATAAACTCAAGCAAAATTATTTAAAAAAATCCAATGCATAATTTCACCCCATTCCTCCAATGTATATCTTTATCCATACTCTTTTAACTCTCAGTTGTTTTATGCAACCAATGGATTGGTTTCTAATGAAATAACAAATCTATTGATGGTGATAATGAAGATGATGATGATCAATAGCAAATCTATTTAGGATATTTGTAATATAAGCTCCTTCTCATTACAGGAGCAAATTGCATATCAAAAAATACAATTTTTAGAAGAAGAAAAGAAAGATGGGCTTCTCATTTTCCCCCAGAAAAAATTAAGATGTTAAAAAAATACTGAACAGCTGAAGATCTGCTTTGAAAAACATTTATTTCTTTACCCACAAGTTTACCCTTTTGGATTTCAAACTGCTCTCAAAGATATAGTATTGTTTTTATCTGTAAGCTCACAAACACATATCACACATTCATTTTTACCTGACAGAAATATTAACTTGTCCTCTCTCTTTGCCTTATCAAAGGCTTCCTGGCCCCATGGATACCTGAAGAAGATTGAGGAAAGGAAGAAGCTGGATTTTTTTATAGTGTTTCCTTTGTAATATACCTATGTTAAATGTAGGTAAGGGGCTGCAGTCTTTTCTAACTGCTTGGACAGCTTTTATAAGACAGCATCCATATAAGACATCATCTACTGTTGCTTTGCAGTCCAACATTTTCTGCCAAGCAGAAGAAACCATGTGCATTCTAAAAAGTGCTGCCTGAACTATTTGCACAGGAAATTACACACTTGGTAAGATCTGGAACTATGCCAAAGTAACTCTCCAAAGTAACTCTTCAGATGGTCTCCATCTGAAGAGGAGGGGAAGCAGAGCAATTTAGCATAGGTAGGTGTCAAGTGTATACTTCATTAGAATTTGAGCTCATTGTTGTTGTTGATTTTAAGTATCCATGAAACCATTTTAATTAAAAGTAGCTTGCTATGTAGTGAACAATCAGGGTGTTCTGGCCAGTCAGATGTTGGACTGGGATTGGGGAGACCCATACTCAGATCCATCTTCATAAAAATTCACAGAATGACTTTAAAACAGACACTCTCTTCACTAACCTACCTCGTAAGCTGGCTGTTGTGAAGATAAAATTAAACAAGACCTGCATGTTAGTTATCCTAAGCTGTTGGAAGAAAACTGGACTATGTATCTAATTAATAAACAATGGGAAACTTCTTATTGTTCTATGAGAATTCTTGAAAGATAAGTTCAGAGAATTAGTTTTCAGGATTTTAATCTCATATTAAAAATTAGCTTTTAAAAAAATAATTTTTCATCACTCCATTTCAGCTACTTTGTCATTGAGCAAAACAGTCACTAAGTGAAGCACATGCTTCACATGATTCAGAGAGATCATTGGTTGCTGCTATCTCATTTAGATAAAATCCTCTTGTGCGGCAATGCCATTGTTACTCTCATTCTGCCATATGTTATTTTCAAGCGCATAAATTTGGTTGTAAGTATTGTATGGCATGAATCAGAAAATGAATGGTGTACTACCATTTATTACTATCTTACTGGCAAATGGTTGCTAACTAAGATAGTCCCAAAGCAAGGAGGCATTGTATTAAAGAAACCAATTACTGTATGATTGTATCAGCAATACAATATAATATAAAAGTAAATGTAAATAAAAAAGGAAGGGAAAGGACAATAATATTAGAAGCAAAGCTACTCCAAAAAACTTTGACCAAATTGTTCAAAAGTCCTCTCCTTGCCCTTCTATCAAAAAATTCAACAACATCCTAATTCAAATGTTAACAAAGGACACCTGTTATATATACAATTTTTAGGTTTTACAGAACAAAAGACATCCAAAATCAAACACAGACATGTCTCAGCTTTTCAGTCTGGTTAAACATTTTAGATTTCACCTCAAGACATAGATCAAACCAATAAATTCAGTCCATTTTTTCAGTAAGATAGATACAAAATAGTCACAACAACATACAAATTTTTAAAAATTTAAGATTAACTATAACCTAAAACAACATAAAAGAGAATTACAATGGAAGAAAAACAATTATGCTACTAAAACAACTGTGTGAATAAAATGTTTTAAGATTCCTTTTGTTCTGTACCAAAATACATTTCAGATTCAGAGATAAAAAAGTAAAGAAGTACATTGGCCCTCCATAAAGCAGCTGCAACTTTTCCTGGGCTCACAGAGTACCTACACAATCCTGACAAAGACATATGAATTAAGGAGGTGCTGACAGCACACACCCAGGGCCACATCAAAGCACTTTGTTAGTTTCTCCCTTGTTATCCAAGGGAGATCTCAGTCACTGTCACTAATCACCATGTCCAACCTTCAGCAATTTTGAGCCTCAGCGTCTAACAGTAGGGATTAGGCAGTCTCATATAACCTATGCAGAACAGAATAAAATAAAAATAGGCAAGGAGAAGGCAGAAGAGGAAATCCAAATCTCAATTATATAAAAGGGTGGAAATAAAAGAGAGAGGCAAGAATAACAAGGAAGAGGTATAAATAAATATGATTATATAAACCTTAGATTCATCTCCTTTGCAGATAAGATAAAGGAGGAACTCAGAAACAAGCTACAAACAGGAATTCAGAAACAAGGATGGAATTAAACTTATGGTCTGTATCTGAAAGTTGAGATAGTGCTGTTTAGACACTGAGTTACAGGAGGAAAAATGTTTTTATGAGAATGGAAAGTCTGGAGGCTGCTATAAATATTAAAGGAAAATGGTAGACTCTTAAAGAAAAGTGTCTGTGAAATCCCCAAATGATCTATTTCACATCACTCCTGTGCCTAGTAAGAGAAAGGGGAAAAAAATCCTTACCAGTCAACAGGGTTGTGGGCATGTTGAAGGAGGTAAGGAGATTTCTCATGGAGGAGCCGGTTAGTATAGAGGCTGTTGTTGGTCTGGCTGCCTTTCCCCCCTGTAGCCATGCTTGAGGTCGCCCTCAGAAAGATCGTCCTGAAACAAGAAATGCCAAATATAGACCGAAGGCAATTTGGTCAGTTTCTTTCCCAAGCAGCTAGATGTAGATTGGATTTCAGGTTGGGTTTCTAGGGCAATGTACAGCATATACTTCCTCAATTGGCTTTTTATCAGACTCAAAACTGCATTGCCAGGAAACAGACCCATCTGAATTCACAAACAAACAAATTGGCATTTTGTCCAAATCAAAACTGGATAGCCAGCAGAACTTAGGAGGCCTACTGCTAGATCTTAGGCTCAGCAGGCATGTGGTTTTCAGTCAAACAGCCTTCCTTCCCAGGTAACTCCCTGCATAGGCCCCAGGGAGTAAATCATGATTTTACACACATTAAGCGTAACAGAAGGAAGTCATTTTTTAGCCTAAAGTTTAAGGACATCGTTCAAAATGTAGAAAAATTCCTAAGTTGTTGTTGCTGTTGTTGTTGTCTGTACTCAGACAAATAGACTGGTGCAAATACAGGAGAATAATTGTAGCTTAGGGTTGACATGAGGGGTCCTTGGTGCTCTCTGAGCTTGCTTGTTTTCTTGCAGACATTTCATTACCCAAACTAGTGCAAGAAAACAAGCAAGCTCAGAGAGCACCAAGGACCCCTCATGTTTAGACTGGATTTGGCATGTTTATCCAGTACTCAGTCCTTCTCAAGGACCTGGGATAGACAGATGTTTTTGTCTGATGTGTTAGATATCATCGCAGAATGTAAGCTGTTCCGATTATTATTATATCACCTCCATATTAAGACTGATGATCAAGACTGTCTTCTTAATTTCAGTCTATTACTGGAGGCATTGGCTTTTACCCTTCATTTACTTGTTCCCTTTCTTTCTGAGGCCATGGTAAAGTTTATTATATATTACTACATATTAGCTAGAAAGGAAGGCCTACCGGAAAGGAATAAGATTCCCTTCCCAGATCAACCACAAAGGATACAGTATCTCCAAAATTCATGCTCACGTTTATGAGGAAGGCAGCAGAAGCGGCCTTTAGCTCCGCAACTACTTCCTTCAGTTACCTCAGACCTCCTCAGACTATCTCAGCTCTCAGCTGGCATCTGAGTTGGAAGAAAGTGAGGATTTCAAACCCAAGCCATGTACAGGACAGAAATTGTATTGCAGCTCCCCCCCAGCACATGTTGTCATTTCCTATACCTATATAGTTTGTTTAAGAAGCTACCATGCTATAAAGCTGAGTGCCAGTCCCTACAATTTGAAAAATGGGTGCTTTCTCATTGGCAGCCATTTTATAAATGTGCTGAGGAGAGGCTCTCAAAATTACCAATGTGCCCATTTGTCCCAAATGAGCCTTTCCTTTGCTCTACAGTAACCTCATCATTCCTAAACTTTCTACTCTTTTTATTCCTGTTGTTTGCTTTATAAATAACATTTTCTGCTTTATGCCTGGTATAACAGCCTCTTTGCTCTCGTTATCTTCTCTGGAATATTTGTAACCTGCACTTTTTATCTAGGGTTGCTGATCATTCCTCAAGGGTCTAAAACTTTCTAAATGCTATAAAGATTCAAAGTAAGAAGAAATCTGCCATTATTTTAAACAAACTAGGTAGCCTGCCAAGGGCTAGACCATATTCCTGTTAGGGCACAGAAAACAGTAATGCATAGTACCTCTGATGTACAAAATCCATCATTCTTGGCTCAAACATTTGGTAGAAACTGCACATATTTGGGGGAAATGCATATAAAACTTCACGCACTTGGGAACATTAGGTACAAATTCTCTATATTATGGGCAGCTACACAAAAGAAAGAAATGAACATCTTAAATGCGGATAATACCAGTATAATAGGAGCAGCTGCTTGAAGTTGTACAGTGGCAATCCATAGTAATCTAAACTGATGATACACATACAGTGACATGATCATAGAAATGCCATCCACATGTATGTGCATCCCAACCTCTGATGTAAGTAGGGAAACCTTGTCATACAGTATGAGCAACATGTCACCACGAATATTTCATCATTTGCAGCAGTTTAGCTCCGAGAGGCAGTTTAGTCTAATCGTTAAGGCATTAGGCTAGAAACCAGGAGACTAATCCCATTTTAGACATGAAAGCCAGTTGGATGACTTTGGCCAGTCTCTCTCTCAGTCCAATCCATCTTACAGGGTTGTTGTTGTTGGAAAACAGGAGGTAGGATTTACACAACCGGAGGAGGAAGGGTTTACACATCCGTATTTACACAGAGGGAAAAAACAGTCCAATCTATCAAAAACAGTATCGTAAAAAAAAAGATTAGGAACGCAAGTTAAGATAGGCAAGAAAATAGTAAGTGAGCACCTGTCCACCCTAGATGAGTTCAAATCACCAGGATCAGATGGACTACACCCCAAGGTTCTGAAGGAACTGGCAGATGTGATCTCAGAACCACTGAGCTATATCTTTCAAAGATCCTGGAGCACTGGGAAACTACCAGAGGACTGGAAAAGAGCTGAAGTAATTCCCAGCTTCAAAAAAGGAAAAAAAAATGGATCCAGGAAACTGCAGAACTATAAGAACCTCAATACCTGGGAAGATCTTGGAAAAGATAATCAAGCAACGAATCAGCGAACACGTAGAGGCAAACAAAGTCATTACCAAAAGCCAACATGGGTTTGTCAAAAACAGATCGTGCCAGACAAATCTTATTGTATTCTTTGACCAGGTGACAAAATTAGTGGACCAAAGGAATGCTGTGGATATAATTTACTTAGACTTCAGTAAGGCATTTGATAAAGTAGATCACAACCTACTACTTGATAAGATAGAAAAAAGTGGGTTAGACAGCATCACCACCAAATGGATTCGTTGGCTGACCAGCCGTACTCAGCGTGTGGTCCTCAATGGAAGTGCATCTACATGGAGGGAAGTGTGGGGTGCCCCAGAGCTCTGTTCTGGGCCCAGTGCTCTTCAACATCTTCATCAATGATTTGGATGAGGGGATAGATGGGGAACTCATCAAATTTGCAGACGACAACAAGCTGGCAGGAATAGCCAACACTCCAGAAGATAGGTTAAGATACAGAAGGATTTTGACAGACTTGAACATTGGGCGCTATCTAACAAAATGAAATTCAGTGGTGAAAAAGGTAAGATTCTACATTTAGGCAAGAAAAACCAAATGCACAGGTGTAGTATAGGTGGTACCTTGCTCAATAGTAGTAACTGCGAAAGGGATCTTGGAGTCCTAGTGCCAATCACTTAAATATGAGCCAGCTGTGTGCTGCAGCTGCCAAAAAAGCCAACACAGTGCTAGGCTGTATAAACAGAGGGATAGAATCAAGATCACGTGAAGTGTTAATACCACTTTACAATGCCTTGGTAAGGCCACACTTGGAATACTGCATCCAGTTTTGGTCACCATGATGTAGAAAAGATGTTGAGACTCTAGAAAGAGTACAGAGAAGAGCAACAAAGATGATTAGGGGACTGGAAGCTAAAACATATAAGGAACGGTTGCTGGAATTGGTTATGTCTAGTTTAATGAAGAGAAGGACGAGGGGTGACATGATAGCAGTGTTTATTTATTTATTTATTTATTTATTAGTAAAATTTATATGCTGCCCAATCCCTAGGGATATTGTTCCAATATCTCAGAGGCTGCCACAAAGAAGAGGGAGCAGAGCTATTCTCCAAAGGCAGGACAAGAAGCAACGGATGGAAACTAACCAAAGAGAGAAGCAACCTAGAACTAAGGAGAAATTTTCTGACAGAACAATTAATCAGTGGAACAACCTGCCTCCAGAAGCTGTGAATGCTCCAACACTGGAAGTTTTTAAGAAGAGACTAGACAGACATTTTTCTGACATGGTATAGTGTTTCCTGCCTGAGCAGGGGTTTGGACTATATGACCTCCAAGGTCCCTTCCAACTTAATAGTAGTAGTAGTAGTAGTAGTAGTAGTAGTAGTAGTAGTAGTAGTAGTAATGTGTGTTTGCCACCGTAAGTTATTTTAAAGAATAATAAAGGTGGGATATAAATATAAATCAATAAATGTACACTCATGAAACTGCAAGTGAGGCCTAAGATCAACCAGTACCACAATAAATAGAAGATGCTTAATGATAATATCAATCTTCCTTCCATTTTGGGGGGTCCAGAGGTCTTTTATATTCAAATATCTGCTATTCCTAAGCATTCCTTAGGAATGCTTAGAAAAGAGCCTCTCATTAAATATAGGTAAGATAAAAATACCTTACTCTTTTCTAAGAGTTCAAAACTATCACACTTCAAAACTGTGATAGAGCAGCCTCTCTTGCACCCTTTTCAAAGACCCTTGCCTGTTTCTACCATCATTACTAATCTACATCTGTAATGGAATGTGTGGATGACCTTGGTGATTGAGAAGTAGAGATGCTGTCGAGGAAACGATCAGACAAGAAAGGCAGGAGCTCCCAGTGGCTTAACAGTCAGGGAGAAAAACTTAGGATGGACCCACCCTAATTGATCAGATAGTTAAAAGTGGCTCAAAAGTGGGAAGTTTGTACCTTCAGACTCTTGCAAGATTCTATTAATGTAGCCTTACAATAAAGTAGGATTAGTTCTTCTAGTCGTGTTTCTTGTCTGGGTTTACCTGGGAGGGTTGACATATTCAAGCTGAGGAATTTCAAACTGGCCCTGACTCCACCCACATTCCAGAATATAACGTGGATCACTAGCAGTAAGGATTCATTGAAGTAAGCGCTGTATTGAACCAAGACCTCTGGAAAATACTCAGTAGATCTTTTTACATATTGTAAATCAGCTTGTGATTTTCCATATTGGTGGTCTCATAGCACTATACTATTTTTACTATTTCTGTTTTTTTACACTTTCTCTCTCTCTCACTCTCTCACTCTCTCTCTCTCTCACAAACACACACACACACACATATACTATATAATAGAATCTGCCTTTTTTGCTGCATAAACTGCACGTGACTAAGAATTTTGGCTGGCTGGGTTCTGTGTTATATTCAGATAAATTATTTATCACGTTTATAATATATCTGTGAAGCATATTATACAACTTTATTCTTGAGTCCATAGATTTGAAATATATATTTCGATTTCAAAATCGAAATATCATCTCTCAAAATGTTACTGAGATTTTTCTTTAACAGCAATGGGCAGATTACAATCCTCGAGCTGTATGTTGTCATCCAAGAGTCTTGAATGCATCCTGTTGAGTAAACACCCCTGGAAGTCAAAGGGGTTAACTCCTTCCTTGATGTTGCTACATCACTAATTTGTTTAGCATCCTTGGTCCATCAGGCCCAGGAGCCAAAGATTCTTTTCACTGCAGAAATCAAGGTATCTGATGCTGTGGCCTAATGTTACTACCAAAGGTTAATTCCAGTCTGCTTCCTAGTGGATCAGTGTGCCAGAGAAAAGGAAGCTGGCAGTTCGTGCCCTTTAGACTTTTCCTACAGAATGTACATAGGTCCTTTTGCTCTTCACCTCCCACTGAATTTATGCATACTATTATGGGAAACCTCTGGCCTAATGCTAGGACTGCAGGCACTGTCCCTTATAGGAAAAAGGACTTCAGGGGGAAAAAAATAATGACTACAAATGCTAGCTATTAGGAGAAAAGCAGACAAGGGTGGGAAGAGGCACTTTTAACCTTTCCTCCTTTGCAATTTGAGCAAAGGAATGAGCTTTGGTTAAGTATGCATGTATGCATGCATTGCATGTGAGGCCTTGAATATCTCAGAGCCAAAGAAAATACTTATTTTAGGGAGCTCTTGGATACACAATATTCTACACAAATATACTTTTTAGTTTATACATCAGTCTTCCCAACTTGACACCTTCTAGATGTGTTTGACTACAACTTCAATTTTTCTCCAGCTCACATGATTATACTAGTTGAGAATAATGAGTATTATTTATACGGGGCTTTAAGTCACCATAATTTATCAGTTATTATTCATAGCAGTATAATCTGGGATATACATGCTCTAAATAAAAATCAATTATGTTAAATACTGATTTTTTTTAGTTAGAGCATTTATATCCCAGGTTTCTTCTGTAATAGATTTTAAGAAATATAGGTAAAGATTTCCTTTTCAGACTCTACACTGATTCAACCCTTTAAAGCTTCATCAATCTTCCAAATGGATGGCTTGCTCAGCATGAAACTAAATCCACATAGCTTTTTGAGAAAGAAAGTTGGCCAAGACTGGGGGAGTAAATACCAATAAGGATGTATCAAAAACGTAATTATCAACAACGGGAGGAAAAACAATTTAACTGTTCTCCAAAATCAACATTGGCCTGAAAAAGCTAGTTGTATCAGGGTAACAGAACGGGCAGGTGGAGAACCAAAGTCTGCTTCCTAGTGGATCAGCGTGCCAGAGAGAAAAAAGTTGACAGTTCGTGCCCTGTAAGGCTTTTCCTGGGTCCCTTTGCTCTTCACGTCCCATTGAATTTATGCATACCATCACGGGAAACCTCCATCCACGAGGTTTCAGAAGTAGGAACTAGATATTGCTGCAGCCATGCCAACGGTAAAAATCAAGCCTACAGACCGCCGGGTTGGATCAAAACTAGGCCATACCTTCTCAGAGTCTCCTAAACGGCAACAGAAAGAGATGGAATCTCTTCCAGGTCGAGCGAACGTTATGCAGTTAAGAAGAACTGGCACCGACAAAGAAGTTGCCCCAGTCAAATGAAAGCGGGGTAAAAAGACACACGGCTTTTCTCCGTGGCCGGAGAGAAACCCCTTTCGGGGGGTTTCCCAGATCTGTTTCCCCTCCCCCCCCCCAAAAAAAAAAATCTGCATGTAAACACCGCAAGCACGTGACCTGCCTGGACCAAACAAAAACCCGCAAGAGGCCGAGGAATTGGAGCGACCAGGAAGAACCGCTCTTGGTTCTGCGGCGCGGCCCCGATACCTGCGCGTCCAGGAGGTTCGCTTGTGCCCGGGCCGGCGGCGGAGCAGCAGGTTACAGCTCGTGCGGCGCCAGAGCGCGACGGGGGCGGAGATCATCGGGGCCTAGTCAGAAGGAAGCACCGGGTCTCGTCAGAACCGGACGCGCCATTGGAGTCCCTCCCCAGATTTTCACAGCTCTGTTCCAGCGTCACGGAAGGGGTGTGACTCTGTTTTGACACAGGTTTCAGAAAGGGGAAGGGTGTTTCAGCAGAACAAGACAGAGAAAAGACAGGGTGAGCGGGAGAGGATCGGCTCTCCCTGACATTACATCGAAACAAACTGGATACCTATTCCAGAGGCTAGTTTGTAGTGTAGTGGCTTAAGTCATCAGGCTTGAAACCGCGAGATGGTGAGATCTAGTCCTGCCTTAGGCTGAAAGCCAGCTAGGCTAGTCACTCTTTCAGCCCTAGGCAGCAGGCCATGGCAAGCACTTCCCAAAAAACGTTGCAAAGAAAACTAGTTGAAGGCGCACGCACATGCACATTGAAGAGACATCCTAGTACACATGGGCCGAGCCGTTTTCTAATAGGTCTGTGAATTTCAAGGCAGGATCCCCTAGTCTCCTGCAAGGAAGCCAGTCCTTAAGCATCCTTTAGATGTACGCATTCCTAGTATCTTTTGGGAGGCTACGCCAGTTTGTGTAGATTGCCACACATTTAGTCTCGGATCAAACTACAGTAATTGTCCATCTACTACAGTGGATCTCAACCTTTCTAATGCCGCGACCCCATAATACAGTTCCCCATGTTGTGGTGACCCCCAACCACTTATACATCACTGGGTGCCAGGGGAATGGCCAAAGAAAAAGGGGGGAAATGGCGGACAGCCTTGTTTGGCGACCCCCGTGAAATGGCCGTTCGACCCCAAATGGGGTCCCGACCCACAGGTTGAGAACTACTGATCTACTAGGACCTAGGCCGACTTTTCTGGGTGAGAATAGCTGTCCAGGTCAGCTACGTCTCATCCTGCTGCTGCAGGAGGCTGTCTTTTAGAAAAGATTCAGAGATCCTCTGCAAGTCTTTCACCTCTGTCTCGGTATTGCTAAGAGGTAAAAATGTTAAAGGACAGCTTTTTCTCACCTTTTACTGGAGATAACGTTGAAGCAAGTGGATAAAACCGGAAACCATGTATCTGAAATGCTATTACTGAGCTGTGTTGTTTCTCCTGTCCAGATGCAAAATACAGATTTGATTGTGTTAATCCATTAGTTTCAAATGTATAGACCCAGTCTTTGTTACCTGTTCTTAAAACATGAGTATGATGTGTGAGCTCAACCAATATATATTTCCTTTCATTCTAGCAGGAAAAGCTCTTTGACTCAGCAATTAGAGAAGCAGAAACCTCAGGACTCCCTTGCCTGCTGATCTTATCAAGTTAAAGTCCATAATTGGTTTCTTTACATAAATACACTTAGGTTTAAACTTCAGATTAAAATCTAAAAGAAAAGTAGGCATGCTCAGAACCAGCTTCTAGTGATGTAATCAGTCCACTACATTAAAAGCAAAATGAGATTCTGATATGATGCTTGAAAAGTGATGCAATGGGAAGGGAAGCCAGAATGGGATTGAGTTCATCAAATGGCTCATTTGACTGTTGTTGAAAGGGCGGGTAGGGAAGTTATTCCTTTTTTATTGTTTTTATATTGGGTTTTTATCTTTGTAAGCTTCCTAGAGTCAATGAGAGTGAGTTTTCTTAAATCTCAAATATTCATTGTGCAAGACATGATGTAATAAAAATGCTGTAATTTAAAATTTTGCTCTGTGCCTTTTTGAACACTGATTTCCTATTTCTACAGTTAAGAAAAACAATTTCAGAAAGATAATCATGAAAATAAATTAGTAACTTGTTGATTAAATGGCATGAATTGCATGAATATTGTTTCTGACGGAACTGTTGAAATGTAGCTTGGGTGAAGTAGAAATCTTTGCTTTTACAGTAATTTATTTAGAAATGTGTTCTGCTGGACTGCACTGGTCTCTGTTGAATGACTAAACTGTAATGAAAAACCAAGATCCTTCCTGATCCTTCTGATGGCCAGCTACATAGTAATGAGGGATGTTGAAAGTTGAATTGAGGCAGCTTTTGGAGTCCTGCAAGTTTGCTCTTCCCAATCCACTTTTCATGCATGTTTTGTTTCAGATTTTATAAGCCTTTAATTTCTGTCTGCTCTAGAATGAATGATTAGAAATATGGAGAGTCCTGTATTTGGCATGGCAGTCAACTTCTGTTACTGCTTCAGATCCAAAATTCTACAGTAAAGAGCTTTGAATACTGAAATGACGGATGTGCATGTCTGCTTCAAAATACACCATTATATTCAATAGCTTATTTTTTGTAAGTGCACATAGACAGGTTTAAGATACTGAGACAACTGATTTTTATAGATATAAATTCATTTTATTTAGGCAGCTTTTTACAATTAGTTTTTAATACATTTTTTTTCCTCTGTAAGCTAACTGGAATTGTGCTAAAAGCTGGGTTAAAAGAGATCTTTAAAAATGATCTAAAATAATGTTTTAGTAGAGTAGATGGGAAAAGAAAACACAATGGCTGGAAAAGGGGCTATTAGCATTTGCCAGCTCTTAGCAGAACGAGCATCTCATCCTAATGTGCACCAAAACTTTGCTCTTAATTTGTTAACATAGACCAGCCTTGGTGTCTCTCAGATATGACATACCAGTACTATACTTTCCAAGGCATATGACCATTGGAATTACATTTCAACCTCTCTTCAGGGCTCAAGATTGTGCAACGTTGGTGACACCAAAGCAATTTAAGAAAAATCAAAGGTTTCTCCTGTCATATTTCTTCCAGTGACATATCAGTGACTCTGGAAAGCCCACAAGCAAGGCATGAGAGCAGCATGCTCTAAAGGCCATTTGAGTTGGTGAATACCATTAGTAACTAGACATTATCTCTTTTTATGAAAGCAGGAATGCCAATAGAACCAAGTACTATATAGTTTTTGTGAAGTTTCAGAGAATGGACACAGAATACATATAAATTAGGTTTTATCTGCTGTCATTATGGAAAAAGCAACACACTTGGAAATCAAGATGTCCAACTAGACTGCAGCACCTAAGTAACTTTGGGCTCTGCAATTAAGTAGCATCAGATCTATTTAGTACTTGGATGGGAGACTTCTAGGAAATAATAGGACTGTATGCTTGACTACGAGGTTGGGGGGAAAAAACCCAGATTATTATAAAAGTCAAAGGCAAGCTGTTTCCATGTCCTGCCAATTGAGAACTTATTATTTTCAGACCTGATGGTTTACATAAATATGAAACGGATATCTCAAAGTGTTAGTCTAGAATGGCCCAAAGTCCATGGACTTGGGGGAAAAAATCAAGAAAAAGTCTGTGGTTTAAACCTTGGGCTGACAATCACACAGAGTGTGATTGCTGAATTCTGCAGCAGACAAATCTTTTTTTTTTTTACGCATTACTTATCTCTGCATTAAAGTAACTTTTGTGTTATGTCAGGTCTGAAGCTTCCCCTGTTTGCTAGTTGCTGAATATGGGGTTGCTTTTCTGGGGAGATGTTTATCGTCATAGTGTGAAATCTAACAACAGTAAAGACGGCTTGTTAAGGATTTGATTTAGGTTTCCTGACACTTGGAATAAAGAATTTAGTATATGTTTGACAACTGGGCAAAATACAACCTAATTATTATAATATGATTAAGAACTTCCAATCCAGCAGAGAGGGAGAGAGATTTTATTTGGCTCTTTGCAAACCACTATTGACTGAAATTGAAATTTCTCTGAAAAATAGCACTCATTGAATAACATTTATGATAAAAACTTTAAGAACCAATCTGAGAAATATTGTCACAAAGCATTATAAAGAATGAATTAGTTCACTGAACCGAATATACTCCTTTCACGCACAGCCTTGCTCATGTTTTATGCAGTGACTATATTTGTGATTGTAAAATATAAATTACATCTTCATTTGTTCATTTGGGTTTATTAAATTCATATCATCAAATATAAATCTAAGTGGAATCCAGACCCTAGTTTACAAGATGCTTTTGCAAGGAAGCTTTTGTTGTGGAAAATATCTTTCTAATATCATAATGTGAGAATGCCAAAAATAAATAGGCCACTGTCAGTATTGGTCATGTGTACTCTCTCACAGATATGAATGATTTAAAAAGTGGGATGATCAACATCTGAAGTGGACCAGAAACGATATCTGAATTAAAAGGTTACTTTGAAAATAGATTCAGTTAAAGGGCATATGAGCAGAAGAAACACATTCTCTCACAAACAGCTATCTGGATATCACAGTCATGATTATCAACGAAAATGTCTGTTCTATCAAAATTCATTATCAAGCAATAAATTTGTTCTCAATTGGGAAACTGGAAAAACAAATTATTTTTATAGTATTGGCAAGCTTAATAACATACATGTTATTAGATTTGCAGGATAGGTGATTTTTTTTCTTGGTAAAGCAGTTATTTACAATACCATCTGAGGCAGGCATGTCAAACTCATGGTGTCATGTGACGTCACACAACGTATCAGGACTTTTCCCCCATTGCCAGCAATGAGGTGGGCATGGTTTCAGCATGATGCATCCGGCCCGCTGGCCAGCAGTTTGACATGCCTGATCTGAGGTATCCCATCTGAGGTGGGGTTAGCTATGATGTGATTATTAAAAGCTTAAACATATACATACGTTCATAAATTATATTCTTGCTGATTGATTTTGCATATGTTATGGCTGGCAATTTGGCAAGACATTCAGCAACTTTAGCTATCCTTAAATAGCCCAGTAATTCTAGTTTGTAACATAGAGAAGAGAACGTGTGGCCTATCTGGTACTCCAAATATTCTTTGTAATTTACCATTCAAGGTTGAGGCTGCTAGAAACTATAGTTAACATAGGGAGAAGTTTCTCTTTATAATAAAAATATTAATTGCTATTGTTTTAACAGGATAAACCAGTACTGTGTTTTAGTCTGGAATTCTGCAGGCCTACATTAAAAAGTCAGGTGATGACTAAAAATATTTCAGCAATAACCTCCCTCCAGGTAAACGAAGGCCATCTCCACTCTTGCCAGGCTAATTCTCATGGAATTATTTCAGTGCTTACTTGAATATGTAGCACAACAGAATCAAACACACTACAGATAGTCCTCAACTTACAACAGTTCATTTAGTGACAGTGCAAAGTTACAACTTCACTGAAAAACATAACTTATCACCATTTTTCACACTTATGACCACAGCAGCATCCTCATAGCCACATGACCAAAATTTGGATACTTGGCAACTGGTTCATATTTATCAGATCATGTGAACAGCTTTTGCGACCTTCTGACAAGTAAAGTCAATGGGGAAGCCAGATTCACTTAACAATTTAGCAACTTATGTTGTTTACTTAGCAACATAAATGTTGGGCTCAGTTTTGGCCGTAAGTCAAGGACTACCTGTATTCTCTATACCAGGGGTCTCCAACCCCCAGTCTGTGGACCGGTAGCGGGCCGCAGTATGCCAGCAACCGGTCCTCACAAACAAGCAAAGCCCCATCCGCGGGGTGCAGGCAGCACTCAAAACCACACTCTCTGGTCCATGGAAAAACCTTTCTCCACAGAACCAGTCCCTGGTGCCCAAAAGGTTGGGGACCTCTGCTCTATACAACAAGCAATTCATTCAGCTCTTCTGACAACTGCTTGGATATA